ACATGAAGAAGTAATTATTGCACTTTGTTTCCCCCAGTTTTACGTCCGTCCGCGGATCTGCTTTTTTCGTCTGTCTGCCTGCGCAGTGACCTGTTTTTTCGAGGAAAAACGTCCAAAACGTACGAAATACTGTGCATAACTTTTCGTACAATTTCATACGAACTGATAATGAGAATATGCTGTTAGTTTTGTACGAAAAATACACTTTAAACTACCTCAACAGGCGTGTATCCCTTTAGTCATGTACAAAAAAAACTTTATTACATAATTTTTGGTATTTTTTTTTTAAGCGTATGGCGATCTAACCTTAAATTGTTGGGGGTTTTTTTGTACATGGCTAAAGGAATAAACGAAAATATGAAGTCTTGTGGGTGCATATTTCCTATGACGGAGGTCTTCAACAGGGGTCTGCGACCACTAGGGGCTCCAAAGAGGTACTACACGGGTGTGGCAAAAATTATTATTTTTTTATAATCCCCCTGCAATTTTTTCCACTAATTGAAATGTTTTTAAATATATGCTGAAGGTTCTCAGTCATCCAGGTGATAGTCATTCCGTAAAAATTCAAAAAATATCCACTGGACTTGGTTTCCAAGATTTGAAGACATTTATCATTTGAATTGAGAAAGCTTCCTGGAGAGGTGGCGAAACGTCTTCAAATCTTGGAAACCAAGTCCAGTGGATATTTTTTGAATTTTTACGGAAGTTTTTAAATATACATTAACATGAATTCAACACACTGTAGTAAACAGATAAATGGAGGCAGAAGATGTCTTTCAGTCATCAATGCACACATTCAGAGAGACACAGGAGCTCTTTTAAACTGGGCACCAATTCCTTCACAACACCTGTCCCATCAACCAGGAATCAGAATCAGAAATACTTTAATAATCCCAGGGAGAAATTACTTTCGTTACATGACTCCATCTGTAATAGAGTGACTATAGGACCAGTTTGATAGAACACTATTTAATACAACATATATATTTAGGGGTTCGCCGCTCCATCTCGCCATCAGCTCGGGGGTCTTTGGCCTGGAAAATGTTGAAGACCTCTGGGCTATGGGTATACTGATCTGACAGAACAGCAGGCTGAGTTCTTTCCTTGCTTGATGTGCTTTAACACCAAACCTTTGTTATATTTTTCATCCAGCCAAATTAAATCATTTTGGTTGAGACACATCTTTAAACCCCGGAACAAACCGTTCACAGCATCCAGAGTTGGCATGGACTACCTGAACCTTGGAGCTCTTCGCCTAAAGAGAAAAATTAATGAAAATGGTCCTAACTCACCAGAAGAAGGAAGAGTGGATGTAAGAAAAATTGCATTTGGGTAAAAGAAGAAGAGGAAAGAACTGTGTAAGGTTGTCTGAGCCTACCCTTAACAATAATACTAATGAACAATGAGGTGTTGAAATGGCTGTTACAATGTTGTACAAGGTTTTTATTGTGGACAGGATGGAGGAAGGGGATAGATGAACTGCTTTTGGTTCTGATCAATCAATGAGGAGGATTTTCCTCATTGTAATTTCTTTTCTTCCAATTAGCGCAATACTAAAGCAACACTACCACCAAAATGATCCGTGGGAAGTATCTGGGTGTGCAGCCTGGTCTAATAATCTGTTTGAAACAGCAAACCAGGCAAACCTGGAGTGGAGATTTTCTCACTTTGCTTTTAGGCTCTTTCAGGGTAGCCAAACTTCCTCCCCCAGCCCAAAAACATGACGATTAAGTTGATTGGTTATTCTAAAATTGCCTTTAGGGTCACTGTGTTGCCCTGGTAACCCGTCCAGTTCGCCCAGCAATTCCTCACTAAATTACTGCTGAAAATAGGCCTCAAACCCCACCCTATTCCCACAACAAAGACAAAAAACTGGTTTTAAAATATGGGTGGATTCGCTCTCTTTTTCTGTTGTTTTCAAAATGTTTATAAATAGCGCATTAAAAACAACCTCAGCTGACCAAAGTGCTTCATGAATGCACCAGAGACAGAAATATATATAAATCGGAATAAGAAATATAAATATAACTAACAATAAAATAACAGGAACAAATATAACTGTAATTCAATTTATCGTTAAAGGGCTTAAACTGAAGCTTAGTTTTCATTTCAAGCTATTTGTCTCTCTAATGAAAGAAAAAAAAAAAACACAATTGTCACAGAAATATATTGAATCTGATAAAAGCAATAATAAATAAAATTTCAGACAATTGCTTTTTAACAATGATTCAAAAGAATGATAAAAAAAATCAACAACTCTGAAAAAGAAATGAAAAAAATGACGTACCCTTAGAACAAAGAGACTAAAATCGTGACAAAACAGTTAGAAAGCAAACCACTGGAATTTGTTTTCCAAGTATGAAGACATTTCGCTTCCCATCCAGGAAAAGTTTTGAATTCAAGATGTCTACCAAACCTAAAATCATGATGCGTGCTAATAATGCTAATAATAAGCATCACAGCTGTTTATTATCTTGTAATTATCCAACGGACCTACAAGTATGGGGCTACAGGTAGTCACTGTGCTTTGACAGATTTATTTTGTCGTTTTGTATACACAAGTGTGTACAAGATGAAGTTTAGTTTAAAACACTTCTAGACAATTTCATTTTTTTTTTTAAGTGCAGCCTTGAAAACAGTAACAAATACATAAAAAATAGCAATATAAACATATGACTGTATATTTGCAGTTCTAACTTTTATATATATATATATATATATATAAATGTATACGCTGTACATGCTGTTTGGTGACATGGTGTGTATCGCACTCAACACGGACCAGAGGAGAAACTATCATAGAAAATGTATATATTTTATGACTTTTGTTAAATTCAGGTTATTTCTTTGACCAAATTCACTTCCAAATGTATAATTATCATGCAGGAAGAAGGCTCTTGTGAACATTGCTCCTTTCACTTACAGTTAATCACAAAAAGACTTTAGCTTCATGAAATAGTTTCACTCAGACGACTGGAGGCATTTGAAGAATGTCTCCAGTTATTCGTTTCATATAAATGTCACTTTAAAATCTCTGCATTTTTCCTCGCAAAGGGGATTTTTAAAACCTTTTAAATCAAGGCGTTTTCTAGTGAATTAAAGCGGAATAATTAACTTCAGGTAAATGTTATATGTAATCCTTTTTATGTATATAGCGATAAAATACAGAAATAACAAAGATAAAAAATATAAAAACTGTCAGAAAATTCAAAAGAAGCAATACGTTTTTTTTATGTATTCAGATAAAAATAAAAACTTAGATAAAAGGTGATCAGGATCTGTTGGGCTGGCATGCCTCTTTGAAAGCACAGATTTTAGTGCGTTTAGCTGTTAAATCCGAGTTATTTATCCAATCATCTAAGAAATTAAGTTTTCTTATTAGATGCCTTTTAAAGGGACTGGTTATATTCAATTTCATCTGTAAAAGGGGTTGAATATGAATTAACAGGTGACTTTTTTGGACTGAAATGAAAGAAAAACAACTGTGGCCTACTTTGTGCTTGTCCATCACATACAATTCAACAGATTGTGATTATAAGAGGACAGAATGTGAAAAACCTGACATGTCATGAATACCATCTGCAGATGATATGTGGGCAGTCAGGCATTCTTTTCTTAACGGAATGATAACTCTTTCTTTTCATCTTGTTGATAGTTTCTTTTTGGCGGTATGCTGATCATCTCTGGGTTGAATGAAAACAAGACAAGAGGCCTGCCTTCAGCAGGGAACTGTTTAAGCCCCTTTAAAGGAGCACAAATGTAGTTAGAACTTCTTATTTCCTTAGTTGGTAGTAGAACACTTTTGTTTTCTTGTGTTTTGCTTTACTTCCTGTTTTCCATTTAACACCAGTGACTGAGCTGCTTTGCCAGTTTTACTCTTGTATTTCCAGTTGTTTCAGTATTTGATCCCGCTGTCTTTTCTAATGTTTCACTTTATTATAAACCATATTAGCTTGTGTTCTGTCAGCTTTCTCTTCCAAGGGGGGGATTTACAAATAGGCAGTTGCTTAGGGCCCCAAGTTCCTGGCGGCCCCATACAACTCTGTTTACATGTATGGTTAATACAACTATTCCTTATTTGTGCACATTAATTATGCTTTTGATAAAAACCCTTTTGCTAAAATGCCATCAGAATGATTATAATATTAATCATTCTGATCACCCCCCTTCAGTGTCCACCATATTGGATCAGTCCATTTGCTGCACATGTTCAGAAAGGTCCAAACAGACAGCAGCAAACCATTTGAAAAAAAATGATGCGAAGAGCAGTGTTGCACACTTAGGGCTTTAGTCGCTATATTTAGCCACTTTTCTGACCTCTCTAGCACTTTTATTTAAAAAAAACGCCTAGCGCCACATCTAGCGACTTTTTTCTGCTACTGGAGACTTTGGTGACAACATCTAAAAGCAGCGAACTCTGCTCTCCAGAGCAAGTAGATTGGTAACCCCGCCTCCTGCTCTCCTCTATCTTGTCTGCTGTCATGATTCATGCAGCTATTATTTCATCCAAATGAAAAATGGAGAACAGATAAGCAGATCATGGCTTGTCTACAGTGAAAAGAAGGACTGGGTTATTTACTTTGGCCTTTTTGGAAACACAGGAAGGAGCAATCAGCTAAGTGAGCTTAGTGCTTGGAAAAAAATCTTTCATTGTTTTTGAGACAGCATGAAAAGTCAAAACATAGAGAGGAAAACAAAAAGAAAAGAGACAAGAAGAGAGGGACAAAAACTTGAATAAATAATAGATATCTATTCTATTAACATTTCTCTATCTGTATAATGGGTCTGTTTTATGTGTTGTCTTATAAATTCAGAGGGCCCCATGCCTGTCTCTACCTAGGGCCCGAAATTTCCTAAATCCACCCCTGATCTCTTTTGTCCTCAGCTGTGCCTCCTTGTAGTTTTTTTTATACCCAGTTATTCATTCACACTTCCTCTCCTTTCATTTAATTTAAAGTTGAATTTTGCATAATGTTAGGTTAAAGGAAAAACACTTTTACTCTTTAGCAGAACGGTGCTGAGTTGCACATACGCTGGATGTGTTTACTTCACTGACTGCACTGTAATGGCACTTACCAGGATAAATAGGCCAAGCCCACAACTAACAATGCTGCCAGCGCATGTTTCATCTGTGGGTACGTGTGAGGCTGCACCAACACTTCTCCAAGTAAAACAGGAAGGACAAACGTATGCTGAGGAAACACCAGAGCAGAGTTGCATTGAGTTAAAATATTTGGCGTTAGAAAATAACCAACAGAAGGCAAACAAAAAGAGGTACCATGGCGTGGTTTATCCAAGGAGGGAAGAAGGCGTCGATGGTTGCCGGGTAGACTAATTCTCTGTCATAGGCAAAGATTGTCCAGAAAAGCAGAACCACAAACTAAGAGGCAAAGAACAGAGACTTATTCAGAGTACTCCTTTTATCAGGATCGTTGTTATATTTTAACATGCTTTATTTTTATTTTGTAGAAGAATAGAATTGAACACTTTATGTCAGTATTTAAAAAATATTTCAGGATAATAAATGTACTGTAAAAATTACAGTAAATTAAAAAAATTAAATTAAATTTTGAATTTCTGTAACTTTTTTTTTTTACAAGAAGCTACACTGCACAAACGATCTAGAAATAAGTAAATATTTCTTAAATTAAGTGAATTTATCCTTATTTTAAGTAGGTAAAGGAGATAGTTTGCCAATGGAATGAGTATTTTTACTCTTAAAATAAGATAATTAGATAAAATGCACTTGAAATAAGATAATGCAATTGTGTTTACTTATTTTAAATGTATATTGTCTTGTTTCATTGGCAACATGTTTCTTTTACCTCCTCAATTCAAGAACCAATGCACTTATTTAAAGAAAAAATTACTTTTCCAGTGTATTTCATGTAATAATAAGAACACCCCAAGAGTAATTCCAGTGAAAAATGCCTACAGTGAAACCCAGCTGATTCACATCAGGTCCACGTGAAGAGAAAAGGATCTCTCAGCATTTTGAACAGGTTTTTCCTGTTGGACCAAGTATGGAGAGTGAGACAGGCTGTGATATAGAAACAGCTTTCTGAGGTCATTAGGAAAAATTTTTTTTTTAAGTTTATGGGCCTATAAAAGGGACTTACAGAGGTATAAGAAGAATAGACCTTTAAAATGTCAGCCAACATACCAAGGTCTGGTTGGGAGGCCAAAAGGTGCTATTGAAGTGTTAAAAAAAAACCAATATGCAACCATAGGACCTACAGCAAACTCTGAAAAAAATAATGCAACAGTTTTTGGCATTAACTGAATCATTGTTAGTTACTTTAACACAAATGTTTTATGTCCAACCCTGCTGGCATGAAAAAAATGTGTTAAAGTAACTAAACATGATTAAGTAAATGCCAAAAACAGTTGCATCTTTAAATGTTAGCTTTCTCTGAAAAAAGGGCCAGGTTAAGGATTTGTTTACATAGAAAATCCGCATATATTCAATCTATACAGTGAATAAATGGTTTGTACTTATACGCTGTTATCAGAAAAAAGAAAAAGGTCTTGTGGTTGAGCAAGAAAGAAATTGGAGGCCTTCGTTCAAGCAGGATTTATTAATCTCCGTAATGGAGAACAGGAACTAGCTCTGCAGATGTTCTGTCTCTTCTGGTCAGACCAGGATTTCTACTACTTGAAACTAGAGCAGAGAGCTGGGAGGGATTCATATACAGCTTAACCAAATAAGCTACAAAAGGTTTGATTCAAATAAAGAGATGTTGAAATAACCTTGAGCCTGAAGGAGTTGCTGCTCCTTTTCAAAACATCTCATACTGGAAAAACAACCCATCATGACTAAACACTGTAGCCTTGCAGGTGTGTGATAGCCTGAGAAAATATTTTTGAAATAGTTTGAAAGCAATTCAAATGAACACTTAATATAATCAGGAATGGATATGAAATTAATCTTTCACAACACAACAGCATTTTATCAAAAGCCCTTCAAACTACATTCATTGATTCACACACTGATGGTGGTAGGCTACATTGTAGCCACAGCTGCCCTGGGGTGGACTGAAAAAGGCAAGGCTGCCGTATGTACGTGGTTTACAGGCAGGCAGGCATCTATTAAATACAAGTTTCAGTTTCTGAAATTAGCAAGAAATGAGTATTTCCAAATGTTTTAAGACGCACCTATAATATTTGGACACCAGAAGGGATGACGTGTTTGGATTAAACCAAAGTCAGCACTCTAGGCATTAGAGTTGTCATACTAAAATCTAAAACTTGATATTGATACGCAGAAAAATTTTTACTTAATATGATTTTCTATGCAATGGGGATAAAAAAAGACATAATTAGATGGATGAAAAAAATAGATTCTAGTTCAATAGGTGTTCAAATCTGTCATAGAGGGGACACACACTGTCAAGAAGGGGGTGGAGGGGGAACTGTGCGAGCAAGTGTGTCCTAGTTTTATGTGTTCTGAAAGTCGGATGACACTTCCAATCTGAGATCAATAAAGTTTAATTATAAAGTTCAATTATACCTAAACACACCCAGGTTTTAAATACACATCAGTCCAACAGACAACAACACTACACCCAATCAGGAGGGGGGCTGGTATGGGGCCTGTTCTCCCTGGTTGTTGGAGCCAAACCTTCCAACATCCCAAGCCGGTCACGGCTTGGGATGTTGGAAGGTTTGGCTGTGGCTTTACGGCAAGAGGGATACAACCACTGTGCCCAAATGCATCTCAGCTTGTGTTTTGAGTCTGCTTGGCTGCCTGCCTTGACCCTAAGCATGGCCTGAGCCTGCAGTCGGGTGAGGGGATGCCTGGCACCTGGGCTCAGGTGGCTGGTGTGCCGTATTTGGCCTAGGGTATTGGACTGCTGGAGTTGTGATTGCCTGCAGTCATGGGCTTGAGAAGTCTATATAGATGTGGACTGTGGCTACCAGGCTGGCCTGAGCCTCCTGGCCCTGTGGGGTCTCCACCAGGGGGTGGTGCAACCCTTGACTGGACCCCTGGGCTCTCATCCGGGTCCACCTTGGGTGTGAGCTCATAAGTTCGCCTCCGCAGACCAGTGGGACCTAGCCATGATGGCCTCTCGGGTCAGTCCCTTTAGGGACTGGGCCCCTTTGGGGTTTGGCCTCTTAGGAGTCGGGCTGCAGGTGGTCTTGTCTGCCCTTCTCTGGTGGGTGCGGCCATCCCTACGTCTACTCTCCTTATGTCCCAGTGAGCTAAGCTGCCTTCTGGATATCTGGAGCTTGCATCACCTGTTCATCGGTCCTGGGCCCTGTAGGGCGAGTCTTTTTCTTCTGAAGAAGCTTTTTTAACCCTAAATGTCATGGCTTTGATTATATTGGGCTTTACTTTGCTCTCCATTTCCTAGTTTTATTGGTTTAATTCCTTTTTTGTTGTGATTTCTAGATTTGTTAGTTCTCATGATTTTCTGTTGTCCTCTGTTGCCCTCTTGTGTGTGTGTGTTCCTTTCCCCTTGGCTCCCTCGTTGTCTCCTCTCAAACCTGCTCCTTGTCAGCTCGTTAGCCCTCCCTTTGTCTCTGTCAGCTATATATACTCTCCCTCTGCTCTCACTCTTTGTTGGTTCCTCTGTTGTTGCTGGTCCTGTCATCGCCGTTGTCCTCTCACCTCGTTTCTCCCTGGCTCCTGTGCGCGTTTCCCTTGATGTCTCCGTGGTTCTGGACTGAGTTACATTTTAGTTGGATTTTTGAATGTTGCCTCTGTTATTAGTGTTTTCATTAAAACTACAAGAATTCACCTCAGCCTCTCTGCCTCTGCATTTTGGGTCCTCTAAACCACTACCAAGACGTGACACGTCTCATATACACATATTCAGTGGAACCTTATATCAACACACATAATGGTCTGTTTGTGAAAGCAAATTTGTTTGATTATCATCCGGTTCTGGGACATAATTTCCCAGAGTTCTATGGTTAATATATATTGCAATTGAACAATGTTTTAATTTTGTGCAAATAATACAGAAATCTAACATTAAAAAGAGCAGAAATATGAAAACAAAACATGTTTTTAATATTTATATTATGTTAAATTAATGTATTTGGATACAGAGTTTAAGATATTTTTCAGAGGAATCCCACTCTGAGATGTGAAAAGTTTCATAATTTGAGGATGCTTTGCTAAAGCAGGACGTCTCTCTACAACATAAAATCCACCAAGAATTAAGTATAAGAGGGTGTTTAAGGAGTCCTGGGCTTAATTAAAGTCCAGTTTTTAATTTCATACAGATGTTATGGTGTGGATTGATAACAGTATGTGTGGACAAGAAACGCTCAACAACATCTAACAGCTGTTGTTGAGAATTGGGAGCAACTGTCCAGAGATGGAACTTTTACCTCTGCTGTAAAACTAATTCTTAATTTCTTGGCTGCAAAGAAATCCACATTCTTTTACAGATTAGAGATTGGACATTGATGAAGAATTAAAATTTGATAGGGGGCCTTAATTATTTTGTATTGCAATGAAAAAAAAAAGAATTTTCTCACCATCCCTACAGGGAATGCAAAGACAGAGAAAAGGAGGTCTTTCCATCTGTTCAAAACACTTTTTGCCTTCTTGCCTGGTTGGAGATCATTCACTGCTGCCAGTCCAAAGAACGTCATTTGAAGCAGCTAAAATAAAACCAAATAGATCTTTCAGTTTCTTCTATAGAAAAGAAATGACAGAGCTCTAAACATTACTGCAGTTTACACCACTAAATGTGCTCACCAGGTTTAAAAAAGTAAGGTACTTCCATGGTCCCCCATAGACAAAAATTCCTTTAGGTAATTCCTCCCCATCCTTTGCTGCCAGATAATTGACAACAAAAGCGTACCAACCGAACGCTGTGATGTGGAATGCTCCTCTCAGGGTTGCAATCATTTTTAAAGCTTATACTGAATTATATTTAATAATTGACACAAATAAATTAAAAACTCTGGAAAAACTATTCACTAAACGAGCCCAAGTATTCCCTTCAGATGTGAGGTATTTCAGGCAGTGCAGGTCTTTATAGATTAGTGTGAATCAGTCCAAGCTTATTAAAGCGTTGGGGAGCAGCGGACCCTAAGTGACATTTTTAGACAAGAGGCCCTCTGTTTGTTATGAAACGTAAGATATATTCTTTCATAATCAAACCCTCTGTGCCATGTGACTCAATGGTGAATTTATTCAATCTGGGAGCCTAATCTGTTTCACAAGAGAAGAACCATCAAGAACAGCAAGTCTCTTTTCTATTCCTAATTCCCTTTTAAGACCCACATTCAGTATAACTGCAGGGGAACTGGGTTTACTAAACTAAAGTTTGTTGATCTTATAATCAAACCGAAAGCAGAAAATTAATGACAGTCAGATGTTAACACGATTGGTTATACTGGAAAATTTGAAACAATAAAATTAATCCAATGAGATCATATGCTGAATGTGGTGTTGGTGAAAGGGTAGAGGGAAAGAGCCATATATGGAGGTTTTAGTCCTAAACACAGCCATGTAAGCTGCATGCTGTCCCCCTCTTTTCTTCACTCCCTTCTATCTGTCTGTCTGTCTTTAAAGAGTGCCATATTACCTTTATATGTAGTTATATTCAGTAAACAAAAATGCTTTCCCATAAGGTTTGTTTATCAGATTACAATAACTTTTGAGCATAACAACCTCTAAGAAGTGTTAAACATATCTACGCAAACATCTTTGCATTAAAATTCTTTTTTATGGGTCTTATGTATTATTCTAAGCTTAAACGCTAAAATTAGCTGTGTAACACTTTTCAGAGCCATTGTACCAAATGACATCACTACTCTTTCCCAGCTCTTAAGTTTCAGAACAGTCGTGCTATTGTCAACAGTTGTAGAATTCACTGTATGGACCTATGAATTGTGTCTAATGATGGAAAAAGTACACTAAAAATGATGCAACTTCTAGTAAGACGAACTAATAAAAGAATTACAAACAACCTAAGAGGATTTTCATACAAGGCATCAAGAAATATTTATTTTAAACACCTTTACATTCACTTCCATTCACCCATCCATCCATTTTCCATCACACTTATCCCAGGCGGGGTCATGAGGGGTGCTGATACCTATCTCCAGCTGTCTACGGGCGAGAGGCGGGGTCCAAACTGAACAGGTCACCGGTCCATCGCCGGCGACAGAAAGACACACAGGACAAACAACCATTCATGCACACACTCACACCTAAGGAGAAGTTAGAGAAGACAATTGACCAAACAGTCATGTTTTTGGACCCTGGGAGGAAGCCGTAGGGAACCCAAACACTTTAGCAGTTTAAATAATCTTTACCTGAATATGATAACTCTTATTGGCAACAAGACATCTTGCAGGTTGTGGTGATGCAACACTTTGGTTAACTGTCATTAAACCAAGTGGCCATTTCTGCCACCCACTGTCTAGCTGCGGCTCTAGGATTAACAGTGGACTGTCAAGTCCTGTAGAACTTCTTCAGCGTGATAGCCTCCATCACTGCAGGCATCCACTGATTATGAGAATCGTGTTCATGTCCAACTAGATCCTGTATCCTCAACCATTCCTGGATCAGAGAAACTCACTCTGAGCTTAAACTGGGGCTTCAGCCAAGTGTTCCCAGTTCATCTTCACCACTGGTTTGGGCTTACCAGGTCTATCTGGCTCTCTCCTTCAGTAATGGAATCATCTCACCACCGGGTGGTTGTCAGCTGACATCTCTACTCCTGTTTTCCCTAGACATAGTGCCACAAAGGTGTACCAAGAAGATTTATGACCCAGCTTTTGTTCATTAGGGAGACACAATGTCAATCACAGAAATTCAATAAAGAGATGATCACTGCTGTTAATCACCTTTCCACTCCGGTAGTTAAAGTTTTACTGAAATTGCTTTGGAAGTCTCCTTGGAGAACAAGGATATACAACCTTCCAGGAATCTTCTAGTTCCCAGACACCATTTGGTGAATCAATACAGACAATAGTCAGAACCTTTGACTGCACACAATCTTATATAGTCGAAATGACAAAGTACCCAGCTATCATTCCAACAGTTGATAAGTTTCCACATCAAATCTCAACACCCAGGGCAATGCATCTCAAAATGAACAGCATATGCTTGGGAGTACTTTCTGCCCCTAGGAATCTCTGGACTTGTGAGGGGGGTGATAATTGGCAGAGGGATTCCCCTGGTTTCCAAGGTCTCTTATTTCTCTTCTTGTCTCAACATTTTGTTCTTTGCTCTTTCCACCTTCACTGAGGTCTGGTACTCTTTTTTTTCTGTCCTTTCACCACTTTTCTTTTTCTTAGTGATTCCTCTTTCCTTTTAGGGTCTGCATCATGATAAGTCCTGTAGCACCTCTGTTTTCTGTGCCAGGTAATGGCATTCCCTAACAACTACATTTATAGTTCTTAAACCTTTTTGAAAACTGTAAATGACTGATAAATCCATTATGAATTAGCAATTAATAAAAAATCTATGGAGGAAACACCAACTGTCCAGCCTGCTTCATGTGTCCATCCTGATCTCATGAACAACTGTTAAAGGGTGGACAGGTCATGCTTTACCCAGTGTTGTAGTCAAGACCGCACCAACTGAGACCAAGACATTACAGAGACCAGGAAGAGTGGGAGTGGTGGCCTAGTGGTTAGGGCATTGCGCTTGGAATCTAGAGGTTCTAAGTTCAAGGCCCACTCCCAAGGACTGATGCTCTGGGTCCCTTAGCAAAGACCCTTAACCCCACACTGCTCCCCGGTCACTGCACAATGGCAGTCACTGCTCCCCAAGGGGATGGGTTAAATGCAGAGTGAATTTCATTCCGCAGTTATGACAGTGTAATGACAAGAAAAAGCTGGGAAAAAAAAGAATACTAAGACCAAGACCAATTATGTAATAAAGCTAAATTAAATACAGTCCAAGTATTTGCACATGTTCTCAGAGGTCATTATGGTTTGAAGGTGTAACACAAAAGATGATACGTTTTTTAAAGATTTGTGTTGCAGTTATAAAGTTTGACCAAATGATGGCACCAGAGTAAATGCAATGCTTTGATACTGGACTCAGCTTTGCTTAGTCTTTAGGTCATGTAATGTTTAGCCCACAAGAGCCTTTAGACTAAACTGAGTAACAATTGCTTAGGTATTTCATTACTTAGTAAGCATGTAACTAAACATTTTTATAGACATATTTAAGCAGCTATTTATACATGTATATACCTCTGGGAACAAGGTTTTTATTGACTTAATGCACCATTAATGGGTTTTAACACTTTCTGTTTCACCGTCAGAGAAGTTTTGTTAAGAAATTATAAATATGGCGACAAAAAGATGCAAATAAACAAAGCTTGTTAATTTCAAATGAGATTCTTATTTACAAGGACAAAGAAATTCTCTAAATTAAAATGGCAATTTTGGGGTAATACAACAAACTGCACCTTGAAAACAAACAAAGGTTGATTTCAATGTCTCTCAAGTTAAGTGAGCAAAACATCACATTCTGTCCAAATATTGCTCTAGACTTATTTCAGTACTAAGGCTGCTAATCCATTTCTGTTGCTCCATAAGTTCAAGTTTTCTTTCTTACTCATAGATGAAAATGTACACATCCACTGTTTTAACAGGTTAATCTATGAATATCCATCATATTCTCTCAAAAGTGAATTCAAGCAATATATTACAGAACAAATTAGAGTTCTACCAGTTTTACAAACTGGTTACTTCAGATTCCTATAAGGTCACATAACAAGTGGACTTTAGATTCAGTGCTATTAGCCACAACAGGTGTCATCGCAAAAACATGCATTGCACTTTACCCATGCAGTCAGTAAACACAGCTTTAACAATGCTGAATGTCTTCTGAACCCATTTCCTGTCCGTTCTGGTCGTACAGTTCCGATGCCATCAGTCAGAAGTCCTTTACTGAACATGGAACGTCGTTGGTGGATGTATCTATTGATGGTAAATTAATGCAACACTGGTCCCCTTAAACTTTTGTGCGTAATAAGCCTGTTTGCAGCAAAAGCAGAAAGAACCTTGCAGACTCAAAAACATCTTTCCCTTTTATCACTTTCCTTAGACTCCTCTCAAGGTGCCATCTGTTAAAGAGAATGTAAACAGAGAAAATGATTTACTACATTTGCATTTTAATGTTTATGTAAGCATTCAGAAAGGTGATAAGAAATTCATACCTCAAAACGGCTGTAAACTTTCCTCGTCTTCCTCATGGTCTGAATCTTCTCCAGCAGTTGCTCGCGCTCCTGAACTGATTTAGTAGACCCTCTGTTTAACGTCCTGTACCCCAATCCCTTCTCGTTTTTGGCGTTTTTGTCAGCTTTGTCTTCTTTCTCGTCATCTGTGACAGGGGAATCTTTTGTGGCTTCATTCCTACTTTGGGAGTTGGCAGAAATCTGTCCCAGCAGAAGCTTTGTGTCGTCTCGCAGATTGCTGCTGGATATGACGTTCACTGTCGACGAGTGATAGCGAGACTGACTTGATTTGGGCTGCTTTGGTGTAACTTCTGTTTCAGAGCCGTTACTCTGTTTTGACTCATCTTTAGTTTTCTCTTTGTTCAAAGATTCTTCTGTGGATGGTTTCTGGCTGTTATCTTTATCCAGTAGACTATTAGATTTTTTCTCATCTGTCTCAACTTTCTCAAGCTCTTTTTTACTACTCTCCAGAGTCACAGGTGTCTCTGGTGTTTGGCTTCCATGACTGACTGCTTCAGATGTTTTGCATACTAAATCAGCCTTACTAGGGGCCACCATTGTAGATTCATTCAATGACTGAGCTGTTGGCTGATCAAGTGATTCCTCTGATTTTGGTTTGGACTCATTGGATGTTACCTCAGCCATTGCAGAGTTGTTACACTGCTTGTCTTTTGATTTATCTTTGCTTGAAGACTTCTCAGTGGAGGGTTCCTGGCTCCTATCTTTGTCAAGTAAATTGTTGGATTTTTTCTCATCTGTCTCCACGAACTTAAGCTCTTTCTTACTACATTCCTGAGGCACAGGTGTCTCTGGTGTTTGGCTTTCAGAATTGACTTCTTCAGATGTATCACAGGGTAAATGAGTCTCAGCTGGGGCCACCGCAGTAGATTCACTCACTGAATTAGCTGTTGGCTGGCCAAGAGATTCCTCAGATTTAATTTGAGTCTCATTGGATGTTAAATTTTTTGTTTCAAAGCTATTACTCTGCTTTGACTCATCTTTTGTTATCTCTATGCCTGCATTCTCTTCAGTGGATGGTTTCTGGCTCTTATCTTTATATAGTAGACTACTGGACTTTTTCTCATCTGTTTCCGGTAACTCAGGCTCTTTTCTACTACTCTCCTGAGGCGCAGGTGTCTCTAGTGTTTGCCTTTCCAGACTGACTGCTTCAGATGCTTTGCATACTAAATCTTCCTTAGTTGGGACCACCATTGTAGATTCATTCAATGACCGAGTTCTTGGCTGATCAAGTGATTCCTCTGATTTTGGTTTGGTCTCATTGGACGTCACGTCAGTAATTTCAGAATGGTTACTTTGCTTGTCTTTTGATTTCTCTTTGCTTTCAGACTCCTCGGTAGATGGTTCCTGGCTCTTATCTTTGTCAAATAAATTGACAAATTTTTTCTCATCTGTCTTCACTAACTTCTGATCTTTCTTACTACTTTCCTGAGGCACAGGTGTCTCTGGTGTTTGACTCTCAGGACTGACTGCTTCAGATGGTTTGCATACTAAATCAGCATCAGTCGGGGAGACCATGGTAGGTCCACTCAGTGACTGAGCTATTGGCTGATCAAGAGATTCCTCTGATTTTGGTTTGGTCTCATTGGATGTTACCTCAGTCATTTCAGAGTTGTTCCTCTGCTTGGAATTGTCCTTTGTTCTCTCTCTGCTCACAGACTCCTCTGTTAGTGGCTCCTGGCTCCTGTCTTTAAGCGCAAGTGGTTCTGCTGTTTGGCTTTCAGGACAGACAGCATCAGATGCTTTGGAGAGCAAATCGACTTTAGCTGTGGCAACCGTAGTAGGTTCATTCGGTGTCTGAGCTGATCCCTTGGATTGTGGTTGAGTCTCACTTGACATAGAGGTAGTATCTGCAAGGTTTGACACCGCAGACACTGCGGGGGGCAATGCTGTTTCAACTACTGGGGGTGCATTCATATCTGTTAGATTTACGTAAGAGGAGAGAGCATTTTGCGTTGAAGTGTCTTGGGGATGTTCGGTTTTCTCCACAGCTGAGGTAATATGAGACTGGGTGTGGGTGTCACCTGAAGCTGTATTAGACAAAGCTGTATTTTCCAAATGTTGCTCTGAAACTGAGCCTTCTGGACCCAATTCACAGAACAAACTGGTATCAGGTGTAGATGAGCAAACAGCCAGAGATCCACTATAAGCTTTAGGATCTTCAGGTGATTCAAGAGGCTTACATTCTTTTGCAACTGGCTCTTCTTGCTCTAATTTAATACTATTTTCCCCTAATCCCTCAACTGAAGGTATAACAGTAGCTTCTTCCCTATTTATCCCTGTGCTGGAATTTAACTTGTTAGGCTCCAGAACAGCGGCTTGTTTGTCTGGAGAAACATCAGTCTTTACAATTTTAGCATTGTCCATTGAGGTGTTTTCAAATTTGGGAATATCTTCCAGATGAGTTTGGTTGTGTTGGCTGTCGGAGATTTCTAAAGTGTCTTTGGAGGATTCTTGCTTAGGTTTGATTTCATCAACATTTGGTGGCAGTGTTATAGTATCATTTGGGGGGCTATAGACTTCTTGGGCAGAATCAGAAGGCAATGTCTGTTTTGCAGCAACAGGGTGTTTCTGCAAATCTGAAACAAGTGGAGGGCTATCAGAGGTAGAGGTGTGCTCTGGTGGATTTAATGAGCCTATGGTTGATGCAGGTTCTGCTTCAGATGGAAGTGGAGTGGAGCAGATGTTGGTTTCTGGTTGAAACGATTCAGAAGATGTTAAACCGTCCATTAAACTGGGAATGACTGGTACAGTTTCTAAAGTAAGGTTTTCTCTTTTGTCAGCGCTGTTTATACAAGATGAAACAGTAGCGTCAGCAGCATTTGCTTGCTTGGGTGATTTTATTTCAAGAGATGGCTCTGATACAGTTGACTGTTCTGGTGATTTGCTCTGACTTGTTTCTGTTTGTTCATCAGACTGCTTTTGTATGTCTGTTCTAACCGTTTCAGCAGTAACTTTGGGAGCTTGTTCTTCAGAGGTGTTGAGAGTAATAGAATCATTTTTTACAAGACTGTCCTTCTTCCTTGTATTTTCATTCCCTGATGTCTCTGGGGACATAGTGTTTTTCATTGACAAACCCTCTCTTAGAAAAGTGTTTTTACTTTCTAGTGTTCCCATTGGAGGATTCTGTTCACTCTGGAGAACTGAAGTGTTCTGGGGTTCTGTCAGAGGTTCTTTTTGGGCCTTTTCTTTTCCCTTTTTGGCTGCTGAAGCTTTTCGTTTGGCTGCCAACTCTTTAAAGAACATCAGCCTATTATCAGGATCATTCATATCTACATATGATGAAGCTGTGAGAAATGGGCTGGTCAGGTCTGGCACTTGATCAGTTTTAGGCAATTCAGCTTTCATCGATTTGGATTGAGGCATCAGTGGATTTGACACGGTTGGGTTTTCTGAAGGTTTATTAGTAGGTTGGTCTGTTTCGGTCGAAACAGAAAGGCTAACCAATGACTGAAGGTCCTTCTCAGTTTTCTTGGTTTCAGTTTTTTGTTCATTGGCAGTTTTAGTGCTATTACAGTCTTTTTTGCTGGTATTTCCACTCTCTGCAGCAGGTGTCTTTTCTAAATCCTTAGCTACTGAAGTTTCAGGAGTTTCTTTTGAAACAGGGTCCTTCTTCTGGAAAATTGAAGTAGTTTTGGGCTCAGGTTGTGGTTTTAACTCTCCCTTATCTTTTTTCGTTTGAGCTTCTGATGCCCTGGCGGCTTTACGCTGCGCTGCAAGTTCTTTAAAAAACATGAGCCTGTTATCTGGATCGTTCATATCTACAAAAGTAGGCATCAATGATGAAACACTATCTTGCTCTTCATCTGTGTGTTTTAATGGCTCCTTTCCCTCTGGCATTTCTGAAAGGTCTTGGGAATCTTTCCCACTTGATGAGTCTTTTTCCTCATCCTTATCTGTTTTTTGTGCTTCTGAGGTAGGTTTTATGTAACGACTCCACTCAATTGGCTCTCTTGCAGTAGACCTCCTTTGTCCCAAAACATGAGACACAAGGGGGAGTTTGGTCTGTTCGGTTTTGCTTTTGTCACCTCCCTCATCTTCTTGATCTGCAATAGTAGTTTCTTGAGGGTTTTGCTGGTCAAGGGAACTGAATATCAGGGAAGATCTTAATCTGGAGCTTCTCTGCATTGCTGCATTGTATTTCTTCCTAAAAGAGTCATCCCTTTGAAGCCTTGGGGTTTTTGTTTGTTTTGGGTCCTGTTCCTCATCTTTTTTTACCTCAGCGGTGGAGGAAGTTTCAAAAAGTGTTGGAGTGGTTTTTGTTTCAGCCGTCACTGAAGCAGGCTCATCCAGGACTGTCTTCGGCTTCTCTTGAGGTGGTGCTTTGACGTAGCTGGGAATCTGGCTAATCCTAGGTACAGTATTAACCTTAAACTCTTTCACGTTGGGGATTTTGTGAAATGGCAAGTCCGCTAAAGGGGCAGTTTGTTGGATCGGAACCACAGGTTCTTCGAAAGGATCTGGCTGCTGAGTCGGCTCAATTGGGATGGCCTCTTCCTCTGGATTATCATGTGCACTGAGGTATGAGCCAATCCTCCAGTTTCTAAGCTTCTGTTTTACAGTGGGATCCTTGCGGTTCATCGTGGCGTCACGGATAAAAGGCTTCTGATCTGAGTTTGAAGATGTAGGAGAGGTTTGACCGACATATGGCTGTCTTACCCCCCGTCTTTTGGGGTGAGGGGAAGTAAAAGGTATATCCGCTGGAGGTAGTAATCTATCTGAGCCTTGATCCAAGTCTAGATTTCTGGTAGATGATAAGTAGTTAAGAACAGGGTCAAATTCAGGTGGTAGTACCTCTTGTTGTAAACCTGGTACAGAGAACTGTTCTGCTTGCATATAGCCTTGGTTCCAGAACTTCTCATAGCTGCTGTAGTCTTCTTCTGCTCCTGGTCCCGGAAAAAGCTGCTGGTCTCTGTGAAAAAGCTTTCCTCTCGGTTCGGAGTCAGGCATTCCCTGTTGTTGCAAGAATGGCAAGGAGTATCTCCCTGGAACATCTCCGGCATAAGAATGACGCTTTAAGGCAGGATTATCTGTCATCAAAATCCGTGCTGGGCCCTGATCAAAAGAAGGGTCCACAAGGGTCTGCTGGGAACCATACCTATTATACATATCAGCAGGGCCACGAACGGCCCCCTGCCTTTTCATAGCCATAATCCTTAAACTCCCGCCTGCGTGCTCATCGTAAGAATGTCCTGCCCAATCATCAGAGGGAACGTCCAGAGACAGGAACCTTTTAGGCTCTCTGTACTTTGAAGTGCTTTCATTTGGAAATTGTCTCTTCTGTAAAACTCTTAAATCCTCTATCCGGGAGAGCATGTTTTCAACATTCAGCGGCTGAGATTGAGCAAACAGAATCCGGAACTCCTCATCGAAGGTGGTCACAAGCTGTCCGAGGAACAGGTGCGCCATGCAGCGGTGGAGCTTCTCAAAAGACCACATAAAACTGGAGAAAGACAAGAACCAGTAAGAAATATGAAGCCACAAACACAACAACAAATTCAAAAACAAAAATGGTCTCCACACTTAACACAGATGTGTACAAAACATTAATGGAGATAACTAATTATTGCAAACGTTTAATGTATCACTAAAAAGAAAAAAAAAACTTTAAATTGTTGTGTATTAATTAATAAAAATGAGTTCCAATTATACAAAGGAAACTAAAGCTGCTTTTTTTAACTTATAGATAATAGATAAAATTTAAAGTAAATCCTCCAAACTGCATTTTCAGTTTCTTCTCAAAGACTGCTCATGTCTAGATTAATTAAAATGAAAATAACATTTAACATTTCCTTTTCCAAAGATGAACTAGCAAAAAGTGACCAAAATTTATTATAAATCATGTAAATTACAAATTTAGCAGTCTTAAAAATGAAAGTGAAAATTTAGTCTGGATGATTTCTTTTTAATTTTACTTCTAAGTCAAAAAATGCAGCTTTGTTTTGGAAAGAAAAAAAGCCTTATTATTAATCCATTCTAATTTGAAAACTGGGACACATTTGCTACTAGAGTAAAACTTTTCATCAAGTCCAAGAACCCCAAAAGCACTTCAAACAAAATTCAGTCATTTGCGATTTCACACACTGATGGTGGTGAGCTACATGTTAGCCACAGCTGCCCTGGGGCACACTGACAGAAGCGATGCTGCCATACTATGTGCAGAAAGATGGGTGAAGCTACTTGCTCAAGGATATGACTCAAAAAATTGGAAAAATAATAAAGGATTTTAATCAAGGGGGGCAGATATGTATTCCTTATAAATGAGGAAACGTCGTATTATATTTTAGGTGTCCTGTTCAATCTGATAATAACAGTGCAACTAAAAAAAACTAGGATATAAGTCATCAGAATCATCACTAAATGAAAAAATAACACTGAGCATTAATGGATGTTAATGAAAAAGAAAGCAATAGCCTCAACCTCTTATATAAATGTTGGGTTTTAATTACCTGCATCATTAAAATCATCAAGTGGGAATACTTCACCCTTTGTGTGTAATGAATGTATCTCACACAAGCTTTAGTTTAAAAATTCAATTAAAAAAACCTTATATTCTAACTTACAGTGATGCATCTTTAGCTCGTGGTCTAAACTTGGCTCATCTCTGAGAAATACTCAACAGGATAGAAAACAATGGAGCAGTAACAAGGCTGCATGCAAATCAGAGTTTGCATCTTGTTGTTGTCAGAGCTCTATGACAACCATTAGATGTTATCTACATGAAATGAATTTGTCACAAAACTGCCTCAGTAGGACGAGAAAAATATGCATTTTTTCAGCAACAAACGCTCCTTCCTGTGAAAAATAACCTATTCCCTATTCTTAAGTACGGAGGGGGATCAGTGATGCTTAGCATATATGGCATAATCTAACATGAAAATGATTGCAGGTGTTTTTTTACTCATCCACAGTATGTAACTGTGGTACGTTAGATTTAACGGAGCCCACCTGTAGTTTCCACTCAGCACAGCTCTGCAGTCGGTCAACAGGAAGCGATCCATCATCTGGCCTTTGAAGGTTTTTCCTGAGCGGCACTGATATGTTATCCCAGACACCGTTCGCACGCGTATGAACTGCAGGACACGCATAAAATCCAATCACACCATTTATAATGAAAAAAACCTCGCAAGCAGTAACGTTTTAAGCTGCAGGTCAAATTAGTAGGCAAATTCGAATTAGTAATGCTGCCTCTAGCAATGACGATATGTGCTGTGAGCCTGATTTATAACAGTTATATAAGAGAAGAAAAAAGAAAAACAGTAAAAAAAACCTGTTTGATTGAGTCACAATGTCCCTACAGATATGGCTGTGATATTTCTACAGCCATATCAACTGTCACTTGATATAAAGAAAACTTTGATAAGTTTCCTTTATTTGCATTATGCAACCGACAGCTAAACTAACCACAGCACTTCTGCTTTCCTGCTCCATTGTTTTGGAAACAGCACTAGGCAGCAGAGCTGGTGACATGCTAAATATGTGATTCTGAGAACAACTATGAAAATACTTTAAAAAAAAACAACAACAATATTGTTGTTTCTCAGTCAGTGTGAAGCTCCACACCCCACCCAGGCTACACACTGACAATAGAACCCCTATATGCTTTAAAACATCTAAAGTATTACCTGCTAAACGTAATACGCATTATATAGAACATGTACTTACTGGAAAGGCCTGTAGGTTTACTCTACAGTTGGCAACCATGTTAACAAAGAGATCAGCGTTGTGTTCGTCCAGCAGGATGTAGACGGCAACTCTCCTCCCTGCAGCGTTGAGAATATCCGCAAAAATATCCACATCAGTAAACATGTCCATCACTATGGCAATGACCTGAGGAGTGGGAAGTGGAGAGGGACATAACAAACTCATCAGCGCTGGGGTGCTGTAACAGAAAAGGGAATCAGGTTTCTGCATGGAGAGAAAGAGGGATCAACCTGCTGGGCGTTCTTGATCAGTCGTCGCGCCTGCTCCTTGATGCTCGGCATGTCCGGTTCAGGGGGGTTAACGAGGGTCGTGACCTCCGTGGGTTCAACGAAGTGATGCACCTGAGGCCAGCCCAGGTCCAGATCCGGCACGTCCAGGTCAGAGTGAATGGGCCAGTAGGTGTCCGAGGAGCCTTCTCCCTCACAATCCAGGAACTGCTGCTCAGGGTGGATGCTCTGCTTCGGAGGCTGAACGACGCTCTGGATGTACTGGATTTCATCCGGTGACAGAAAGTCCACAACGTCCACGTTTTGGAGCAAGTGATAGTATCCATCCAAGCTGTCCTCAACCAGGGCGTCAATAGCCAGGCGGTACTCCTCCCGGTAGTGGGGAGGGAGGTAGTTGGGGTCCAGGGGATTATCCCCAGCAGAGGAACACTGAGAGCGGCGCGCCATACTGCAGTTTTAGGAATAAAGATGGAAAATCAATCAGTTTTAGGAATATAACCCAAAAATGAGTTAACCTGGAATCCCAAATAAACACAAAAACACCAGTTTAGGGCTATTGCTTCCAAAACAGGACAAAGAACAGAAATACCAAATGATTTTAAGAGAGAAAGCAATTAATAAAAAGAGGAACCTGGTTATTACTTTGAATAACATAATAATAATAACAATAAATAAACAAGCTACCATCACCAGTCATTAAATAAATAACTTTTGCTAATTTTACCAACAGCATTGTAATAATAACATAATTTATACACATATTTATTATAGATGATTAAAATTAAATCTTATAATTTTAGAAATATCATACATATAGGGCCAATAGTTAAATATCTAAATAAGTAATAGCAATTTCTTGCATTACTAAAAAAAAACCACTGCCATCAGAGAGCTGAACTGTTGAAAATATCAAGTCACAGACTCTGCATCCCATTAACATCAAACCAAAACATTGCATATTTGCACCAAATGCTCTGAACTTCCATATTAATGCATTTTTTCACCGTTTTTCAATCACTGCTAAACTTTATTAAATAAAAATGTTTATTTTGCTGCTCATCCACCTTTTGTATACACCCTGTCTATACAAAAAGACAAAGTTGTCTCATTCTTTCCATAATACTATATATTGTAATGTTTAAATAGCAATAAAAAATGCTGATTAGTAGAGCCTACTAGCAGCAAGAAGGTTCTGGGTTCGATTCCCTGCCTGGCTCTTTCTGCATGGAGTTTGCATGTTCTCCCTGTGCATGTGTGGGTCCTCTCTGGGTACTCCGGCTTCCTCCCACAGTCCAAAAACAGGTGGACTGTGGTTGGTTAGGTTTATTGGTTTCTCTAAATTCTCTTTAGTTGTGCGTTAATGGTTGTTTGTCCTGTTCGTCTCTGTGTTGCCCTGCGATGGACTGGAGACATGTCCAGAGTGGACCTCACCTCTCGCCCCTAGACAGCTGGAGATAGACACCAGCACCCCTCGCGACCCCCACTTGGAATAAAGCGTGATGGAAAATGGATGGATGGAAAATTATATCTTATAATATTAGAAATATCACACCTATAGGGCCAATTATTAAATATCCAAACAACTAATAACAGTTGATTGTATTACAAAAAAAAAAAATAAACCCACTGCCATCAGACAGCTGAAATGTTAAAAAAGCTCTAAATCAAGTCACAGACTCTGCGTCACGCTGATAACACCAAACCAAAATACTGCATATTTGGACCAAATGTTCCGAACTTCCACATCAATGCTTTTTTGCCCTTTATAAACTGAAAATGTTCATTTTGCTGCTAAACATGGAGTTTGCATGTTCTCCCTGTGCATGCGTGGGTTCTCTCTGGGTACTCCAGCTTCCTCCTACAGTCCAAAAACAAGATTGTTAGGTTAATTAAATTCTCCTTAGGTGTGAGTGTGTGTGTGAATGCTTGTTTGTCTCTGTGTTTCCCTGTGATGGACCAGAGACCTGTCCATGATGGACCCCGCCTCCCGCCGCAGATAGGCACCAGCACCCAACGACCCCGAAATGCGTAAATATATAAACAAGGATGTAAATAATGTGGATTTATATATTAATAGTAACATTATTGCCAAATTCACTGCAGGTCAGTTACTCTGTGTTATTCCTATGTTGTCTAATCCGTTGGAATAAGGTTAGATTAGAAAGCAGCCGGATTGAGGGCAGATGGCTCTGGGTGCGGCTCCTCCCTCTGGCCAAAAGTCTCCATTTCTAAGTTCATGGTGAAGCAGAGCGGAAAGAAACAATAACAAAACACATCGATTTTCTAAAAGGGGGATTGAGAAGTTCACAGGAAGCGGAGGAGAAAATGAGATTAAGCGTCTAAAACGGATTGACTTCTCAGTAAACAAAGAAGGAAAACAAAGTAGAAAAAGTGAAGTAAAATCAGGTTCTATCATGTTAGTTGGTATTTATTAGGATACATAGCGGATAGGAATCAGTCCCACCCTGCAGTGTTTGGTCTAAACTCACCTCTTTATGTTTTATTTCCTCGTCAGGCTTTCCGGAGGTAAAACTTTCCGACCATCACTCAGCTTTTCTGCAGCTCTGAGCCGCTTTGCTCCATGTTTCCCGTTTGAAGAAAACTTTTCTCTAACATTGCTCCTCTCCTCTCCTCTCCTTCCAGCTCAACCAGTTCTCCGTCATGCTTCTGGCATGTTGGGCTGAATGTCCGACAGACAGACTGGGAGGAAAAAGACGCAACCAGAAGCCCCGCCCCCAGAGCTGCTCTTTTTTCTTTTTGGTTTTCAGACGCATGAACTCTGATCATGTTTTATCTGCCTCCTAAACTGCTGCTACTGTCTACGGAAGAGGTTTAGGGCCAATAAAAAAAAAAAAATAAGATTACTGATTTTTAAATTTTATATCAGTATAATATGAGATTAAAGTCAGAATTCCGAGTTTAATTTCAGAATTCTGACTTTAATCTCAGGATTCTGACTCTAATCTCAAAATTCTGACTTTTTTTCCTCAGAATTCTGACTTTAATCTCAAAATTCTGACTTTAATCCCCAAATTATGACTTTAATCTCAGAATTCTGACGTTTTTTTATAAGAATTCTGACTATAATCTAAAAATTCTGATTTTAATCTCAGAATTCTGACTCTAATCTCAAAATTCTGACTTTTTTTCCTCTGAAGTCTCACTTTAATCTTAAAATTCTGACTTTAATCTCCAAATTCTGACTTTAATCTCACAATTCTGACTTTAATCTCACAATTCTGACTTTAATCTAAAAATTCTGACTTTGATCTAAAAATTCTGACTTTAATCTCAGAATTCTGACTCTAATCTCAGAATTTTGACTCTAATCTCAGAATTCTGACTTTAATCTCAGAATTCTTACTTCTTTTCTTGGACCTCTGACTTTAATCTCAGAATTCTGACTTAAATCTCAGAATTCTGACTTTAATCTCAGAATTCTTACTTCTTTTCTCAGAATTTTGACTCTAATCTCAGAATTCTGACTTTAATCTCAGAATTCTTACTTCTTTTCTTGGAACTCTGACTTTAATCTCAGAATTCTGACTTTAATCCCAGGATTTTGACTCTAATCTCAGATTTCTGACTTTAATCTCAGAATTCTGAAGTTTTTTATAAGAATTCTGACTTTAATCTCAGAATTCTGACTTTAATCTCAGAATTCTGATACTTTAAAAAGTCACTTAATTCCGTAATTTTTCACCAATGTGTTACTGGCCCTCCCAAACAACAGTGAAGCTGAGTGCTCCCACAGCTCTTCCTTCATGGCGCCCATCTACATTAAGATTCAAAATTCTGAGATTAAAGTCAGAAATCTGTCTGTTTCCCAAAATTAAACTGAAATAATATTTAAAAATCAGTTGTCTTATTTTTATTTTTTCAGTGGCCTAATCCTCTTCCGTAACTATTACCAACAGAGGCTAATGGAGGCTTTATTACTGCTGGTTTTAAATCTCTGTTCACTGCATCTCAGCTGCAATAAAATCTCAAAACAATACCATCGCACCTTAGTGATAAATCCCACTTATATCCGCCTCGTTGGCAACAATTATTGTTTTATTAGACAGGCTATTAATAAGTCTTGACTGAGTGGGTTGGGTATGATTGCTTTTATTTGTTTTATTGCTCACATGTCTGACGCTGTGTCAACATAGTGACGAGGATTTCGAACCAGGAAAAACAGATGAATAAAATTAACTTAAACACACAAATAATATTAATGGTAATAATACAAAAGAAAGAGGAATGATATGTAGAACCTTTATTTTATCTGGAATAATTAAATACAATGTTATTTGAGTATTTATATATGAAATAGGAACTAAGTAAACTTTTGCTCATAAACCCTGTTTTTCTAATTACATGTTCAGATACTTTACGCTGACTGTTAATTAACTAATTCTGTTAAGTGAGATTATTTCTCAGTTATCTTAAGTGGATAGTTCAGATACTTTGAAGTTGCCAAGGGCTAGAAAAATTAGGCTGATGAGCAAGGCATTGTTAAAATTAATCAACCAGTTCTCACTTTAAGCACTTTATTTTCTTACACTGGGTCGCCTTTATAAGCGTGCAGCTGGTTGGATGTGATTTACTGTCTGGTTTTCAGTGTTCTTTCTTGTTTTTCCATTTTCAAATTGCGCGATTGTTATGACCTACCAAAGTCCTCCATCTAAATCACTGTATTGTCACCTAGAACTGCAGTGGAAATACTATAATAACAGCTTTTACATCAAACTCAATCATGTTGCTTTTAAATCTAATTAAGGATAATTTCTGCTTTTATCTTGTGCCACAGAAACTATGAAGCTATCATCTCTGTTTTTATCAAAGTAGGGAAGCTACCAGAACCATTTCCTCCAAGTTAGATATTAACAGGTTTCTAACCTCGTAGTAAAACCTGTCTTTACTCAACAGAGCTCCCTATTTAAAGACATGCTGCTATAACATCACCGGTCAAAGTTCAGTCGGTTTCCTGGGAAAAATCTAGCATATTATCCATGCATGGTGTGGAACAAAGTTTAATCTGTTTGATAAATATCTATAAATTAGTATATATGTTTCATTACACTAGTTTCAATTTGTTAGTCACACTTTGAACTCCAATTTCATTTTTAATGATGTTTCCATTTAAATTGTATGCGAGGTACCCAAACATACCTGGTGTGAAAGTATAAATTCATCTTTAGCTCAATTCTTTTTAGCCACACCCATCCCTGATTACTCTTATACATTTAAAGAAGAAAATAGAACCCATCTGACAACATGAAGTAGGCTAAGTGGCAAAACAAAACAGCACAGGAGACTCACTCTATAGAAATTTAGAAAAGAGAAAAGGGGAAATCTACTGCTGATCGAAAAAGAAAACAAAGGACTATCACATTTCTACCACAAAAATAACAAATAAATAAACAAAAACAAAAAAACCTCTAAAAGACTCTGAAGGCCAAATAAAAAATATTATAAAGGGTATTTTCTTTGGAAATCCCCCTTTACAACTGGCATAAAACAAAGAGCTCTCCAGAAAAGGAAAACTTACTGAAAGTCATAGATGTAGGCGGTAGTATGATGGTCTGGGCTGCTTTTGCTGCTTCAGGACCTGGGTGACTTGTTGTATTTTATGCAACCATAAACTCCGTGCAGCAAACTTCAGTGTTACAGCAGACCAACGGACCACAGAACACCAGCAAGTCCACCTTCTGATGGCTCCAAATGGGAAAAACAATGTGAAGGTCTTGGAGTGGTCCACTCAAAACCAGCTGGTTCTGCTGTGATTTGAAAAGTTTTTAACATTTCACAGCTTTTTAAAAATCAAACATGCTTATGCAACTCTTGAACCAATTGATTTTGTTTAAATGTATCTGAAAAGACACAATTTCAGTAGAAAAGTTTAATTCATATAGTTTATTCTAGGCTGTCAAAAAGGTTTCACTTGAGACATAAGCCGCTTTTGGCAGTTGTGTAAGTTGTAGTATTGCAGAGTTAAATCAGCAACAATAATAAGCAATCAGTGTTTCTTTATTGAAACCACAAGTGTAACAAAGGGAGCTCCCTGTTGGTTAACCTCAAACTACTTCGCTAACTCTAAAGAGGTTTTTAACAAACAATAGGAGCTCTAAGGGAGGATGACTGCAATGTTTGCTGCAGTTTAGCGACAGAATTCGACCATCTTCACACGTCAAAACTGATTCTGTTGCTTCCACTCCTATCTACAGTTTAAGTTCTGCCTCTGCTGTAGCTTCACTTTCTCTTTATAATCAAACTGATGACATGAGAGCATACAGGAAAATGGATCCCGACCATCTGAAACTGCACGCTAATCTAAACTCTAAACGGAGGTGAGACGAAGCCAGAATCAGGTTTTTATTTATTTTTACTTATCAGCAGTTCTTGCTCCGCTGTCAGTCCTAAAATAGCTGAGTCAAGGAAGAAAAATGCTGTAACTGAGCCAAAGGAAGTGAGGCAATGTAGCTGCTCAAGTAAAGACTTGAAGACAATTCCTCATTGTTACCCCTTAGGCAACACCCAAGGCACATAGATCAGGAGTGGGAATATAAACATCAGAATTCACATTCAGACGGCTCATAAATAGCTGCTGCTCAACATACCAGGAGGTAGCCTTCACGCTCACGGTTTCGTAACCCGTGTAGGTCAATAAAAACACGTGTTCGATGACAGCAGGCTCTCTGGCTTCTATGATTGACAGAGCTGATGAGGAAACATGAAGCTGGTCAAATACATAAAGCCGTGCCCCCACACACCCTAAAATCCTCTTCTTCCCTTCAATAAAAAAAAGTAAGCTAGGAACTTCTTTTTTCAGCTTTTATTGTCATTATACTGTCACAAGTACAAAATTCACTCTCTGCATTTAACCCATCCCATTCGGGGAGCAGTGGGCTGCCATTGTGTGGCGCCCAGGGAGCAGCGTGGGGTTGAGGATCTGTGCTTGGAGACCCAGAGTGGCAGTCCGTGGGGGTGGGGCTCAAACTCAGAACCTCTAGAACCCAAGCGCAATGCCCTTAACCTGACTCCTTCGGATGGTTTTGCTCCGCATATCCATCTGGAAACCTTCCGTTGCAGTAATTTTGGAAAGGGGCGAAAATACTGGTTAGCTGATTGGCCTATGTTGGTGATAGACGGGCCAAATAAACCAATCAGATCAAGGAAGCATATGACGTACTAACAGAGCGATGATGAAGAGGAGGCAATTGATAGATCAAACTCTTGCCAAAACCAGTCGAGAGAAGAGCAAAAACATCTTTTCCTCTGAGAAAAGCCTCCAGAGCAGTGTTTTGCTCTTCTTTCAGTGAAGAAATACTCTGTAATTCCGATAAAACTTGCTCGATAGCCACGCTAACGCTAGTTTCATCGGACGAAGCCGCCATGTTCTTTAGACTGAACTGTCGCGCTTCTCGTTGCGTCACACCTCAACCCGCCTCAAAGCCAACGCTGATTGGACGTTCGTTTGGTGAACGGCTCCAAATTTTCTTTAACGGAGAGTCTCCAGACTGATTAGCGAGTGAAATTTTGAAAGCTCGCGAGATCAGGAAGGTCTCACGAGGCTACAATGCTCTAACCACTAGGCCGCCACTCCTTCTCAATCAATAAATTGAACTTTATTGGTGCTCAGGTAGCAGTGTGGGGTTAAGGGTCTTAATCAGAGAGCCAGTGTGGCAGTTTCAAACTCACAACCTCAGGATTCCAAGCCCTATG